GTTTTAAAAAAATGCAGCCCCACAACAGTTTTAAAAATGCAGCCCTGCAACTCATGTTATTTTAAAAATACAGTCTTTTAGCTCATGTTCTTTTAAGGATGCGCTTGCTTGAATTAACTGACTCGAAAGTGGATAAGTTACTCTCATCCATCGTTTGACTTCTTTTGCTGACCTGATCAACTATGCCAACTTGCCGAGGCAGTTACAAAAGTCTATCAAGATCAAGTGCCCAGAAAAAACTGGCAAGAGAGGTTTTGTTTAATCAGGACAATTCTCTAGCACACTTAGTTTCAATAGCTGCCGTGCATGACTGTGGCTTTGAACTGGTTGATCATCCTCACTGTTCTCCTGATTTGACTATCATCTGTTCCCCAACATGGAAAAACAATTGACTGGGAACCAATAATGATAATGTCATTTCTGCTGTTGATGCCATTTTTAACCAACAGGATAAACACTCAGATGTCAGTTTACCTGGAAAGAAACAATGCAGTTATTAATAAAAAGAGTTGAAATTAATGCATTTACAGCTTTAGCATCACTCCTTTGTACTCAGCCTATGAACTTTTCAGCATACCCTCATATGACACCAATTATTAGAAATTTACAATAGCTTAAATTGGCCAGGGACTTTTACACTATATATAGGTACTATATATATATATATATGCGCATGTATGTGTGTTTAAATAAGTGTATGAGAAAGAGAAAGTGGGGAAGAGAGGTATAATTACCCAGAAACAAATTTAGATATAAGTATGCATGTATATTCAAAATCAAAACTGTTTTCTCCAATCTACAATCTGATGTAAATTTGCCATTCTAAAATCAATGGATCCTTGGAGAGATTTTCAGACTGACATGAATAAATCTGTCAGATCTCAGTGATAAACTCCAATTCTGATAAAAGATTGATTAAAAATCTTTATCTGCATGCTCAACAGCAAAGCACTTGTCAGACATCATCTTTATTCAGGTATCCATTACTACTTCTTGGTCGGTTTTATGCATCTAACAATTTCAAATCTGTATTGCTTAGCAAAACTGGTAAGTGGTTTCCCTTGTGAAACTGTGGTGACAAAGGAGAAAACCAAGTCTTAACCTTAAAAGAGGATTTGTGTTCTCTGTCAAAAAAAAAAAATCAAGAATTAATTAGATGAACCATAATTAAGAAGATGCCGACTTTAGTAAGCTTTGAAATAAGATAATTGTTTGCACTTCCGTACCAGGTTCGACAAATCACAACTTTTCTTACACCAATAAAAGGACACAACTTTGAACAACAAGCTTTTGAGTGGTTGATTTTATTTTATGGCTTATCAACCATTTTGAGGTGATTTAAAGCTGAAACGTATTTTTAATATTCAAACGATGTGTCAAAGTTATCGAACCCTATTACAAAAATGGACGTTCAAACAGAAATGCATTTTGCACACCTAACAGTTTTTTGGTCAACATAACTGACCAACTGAAAGTGCCATTGGAAATGATGTAACGTTGTTGTGGAGAGGTTCAATTCCTGCGGGCGATGACGAAGAGAGGGGTCTGGATTTTCAGCCACATTCTCTTGCACTGCAACAATGTTTTCAGTTGAATGGCATAAATGAGCACAAAATAATGTTTTCACATCCGCCACTGACCCAGTTTGTTTGAATTTATGAACAGTGTCACAAATTGCAGTCTTGAAACTTTAATGCATTGTTTGATTGTTAATCTTTCTATGGGTGAAATTGCCAAAGACTTAAGTTGTTAAATCTGAAAGAAAAGTAAAATATCATTATACGCTTATTCACATTTAAAACCAGTTCAAGTTATTGGAACACCCTTTACATCATCACAAAACTGATATTGCCTGCTGTTGATATATATATATATATATATATATATATATATATATATGCAGGTTGGTGTAATGGATAGTAACTCAGATGAGAAATTAGTAAGTCAAGTTAAAAATTCCAGTCAATTTCATCATATTTATTTTCACCCCTTGGGACAGGTATATATCACTCTCTTCTCTCCTCACTTAAGCATTGAATAAAAGGGTAGTCTCAGCTCTTCATCCTTGCCAGTCTAAGTGAAAGACAACTTTCAATTAAAACATCTGACAGACACCAGATGGCTCATTCATATATATATATAATAATAATAATAGCTGGCCACTCACATTCGAGGATACCCGTCTACTAGGGCAGATAGCCAATCCCTATTGCACATGCTTGCTCAGGTACATTTGTGTTTATTCAACACACCCACAGAGCCAGCCTGTGGTTTATACTGCAACTATGCTGAGCAGACCTTAGTTAAAACTTTTAGGTGAGAGCATGTTATCTAGAATGATCAACAATCTGAACAAGGCCAGCACACTTGAACCTTTGGTTACGATGACTTGTGACTTCATGCTAGCACAGCTATCAATGGCCCCAAGTGTTCCATCTACTTATATATATATATATATTAGTGAACATTGAAGTCAACACCCAGCAGTGACAGACTGTTTTATGCTTAAACTCAATTGTCAGGCCATGATGATTGCGTTTAAGCATTATACAGGTGCTGACTTTAATGTCCACTTTTATATTTACATATAATATATCTCTGATATTGAGCACTTTAACCTCTAAATATAGTATACCTAACACTATATTTTTATCGTTATATATAAAGTAAACCTACAAACAGGCAAACAGATACTCTCTAGGGTTTCTCTATGGATGTGATATGGTAATTTGATTTATGGTCCCCATTTATCCTCAGAGATTCCAACAAATATTTCAATTTTTGTATTTCTTTCATTTTAACCTGAAGAAGCCAGAGAGAGCAGGCACTCTCGGCACAACACATTGTTTAAATTTTTTACACTTTGTCTTATTATCTTCATATATATATATATATATATATATATATATATAAAAGTTGTAGCCTCTGTATGTCTGTTTGTTATTGAATGCCTCCTAGGATTTTGGAGAGAGACCCCATAGTCATATATATTCTGAAAATACATTATCCAGGGTACTTGGGTAAGTATACTTTATTTAGAGTAAAGGGTGACCCCAGGGTGTACAACCTCTACACTGAAAATTTTTTCCCTTTGATTTAAATTAAATTTAAATTTGAACAAGGGAATAACTCCTATCCAAAATATACAAGGAGAAAGCCAGAAGATGGAGATCACAGCAGCCAGATCAAAATGAGACAACATGGAGGTCAAGTTGAGCAAGAAATCACCAATCAGTGGGTAGTGCCTTACATATTTGTTGTGACAATTCAACTATCATATCAATGTTGAAATCTGCTCATCAATTCATTCAGTCAAGTATTGCATAAAATACATATCAAAGGGGTCAGAACAAACAGTTTTCACAGAACTCCCCCGACTAAAAGTTTTTTTCCCTTTGATTAAAATTAAATTTGAACAAGGGAATGACTCCTCTCCAAAATATAGGAGAAAGCCAGAAGATTGAGGTCACATTGGCAAGATCATTTAATATTACTGAAATGCATTATTTTTCTCATTAAAGTGCAGATAATTCATATATAATCTATATATGTTTGTGCATGTCTCCATGTATTAAAAGGTGCATCTGAATGTATGCATATATACCTTTACACAATGTATCTGTCTATACAGGTAGTGAGAGACATGTGTGTGTTGTTGATACAAATTCATATGCAATCTGCTGATATCCTCTAATAGACGACATGTTCACATATTTTTTTTTTCCGGCACAGTTCTAGAGAGACTTCTGGCAAGTGTAATAAGATGCTGTGTACAAGATATTTACCGATTCAAATGAGAATTTGCCAGTGGAATTCAAAGAGGAAAACTCCCGAGGAGAATTCTTATCCATGGATGAAGAGACCAGACACATAATTGGGGTCAATGATGCAAAAAAAGGTTGAAGACTTTTCTCTTTGGCGCTTTATAAACTTCACCCATATTGAGAATGGTGACATTTTCTTTTGAGTTAATACAAATTTTGGTTTGGCCTAAATGTCTGGTATAGCCCCTGGGAGTTAAGTATTTTGAATTACGGAAGACAAGGAAAATCGAGAGAGCAAAAGAGTGAGGCTGACAATGCAGACAAGGGTGTGGGTGTCATAGGAAATATTCAAGGGGAAATGAGAGAGTGAGAAAGAAAGAAAGCAATAAAAAAAGAGGAAAACAGGAGAGAGAGAGAGAGAGGTCGTAGCAGGATAATATAAAAAGGAAAAAGAAAAAGATTCCAAGTTTCACATTAACTTTTGTAGAGATTTTAGCGTATTGTAGCATTTGGCTTTATGAAAGGAACATGGTTGAAACAAATGTTATAGAAACAGAAATGGGAGAGATCAAAAGAGAGGAAAGCGAAAGTGACAAGGAAAAGAATTAAGAAATTAAAGAGACAAGGTAAAGAGAGGAAAAAATAGAGTGAAGAGAACATAAGAGTGGGGAGAGTTAAAAAAGAAAGAAAAAGAGAATTATGGGGCGAGAGGTAAAAAGAAAGGAGATGAGAAAAGTGGGGGGCAAGTTAAAAGAAAGAAAAGGTTGGTGAGTGTGATGAAAAGAAACAAGAAGGATGGAAGAGAGAGGAGAAAGACATAAAAGAAAGGAATAATGGAGAATTGTAGTGAGAGCTGAAAATAAAAGGAGAGAAGAATTGGAGGATTGGTAAAAGGATCGAATATTAATGGAGAGGTAAAATGAAAAGGAAGGAAGAGGGTGAGTTGAAAAGAAAGAAGAATGGGAAGATTGATTTGTTTTTTATGGTTTGTCAACCCTTTACAGGTTATTTAAAGCTAGAGAATATTTTTAGATTATAATAACTTTTTTGTGTGTGTGGGGAGATAGTAATAGTTTAATAATACAACATTAGCTGGAGAGGGAGAAAAGGTAAATTCACACCTTTCGCAGGGATAGTTGTGCGTAAGTGAATATAATGAACCCAACAGGAATTGGAACTCAACTATCTGATCTCTAATTCTGAGCCATTATCCATTGCACCACCAGCACATCCAAGCTTACAGTACCTGGTATTCCCAAGCAGTCACCCATCTAGGCACTGACCAAGCTCAATGTTGTTTAACTTTGGTAATCGTATGAGAACAGGTGTTTCAGTATCATGCGGCGTAAAGACAAGAATGGGAAGATAATTAAAAGGAAAGAAAAAGGAGGCAAGAGTGTGGGGAGAAGTGAAAGGAAAAGGAGCAAGAGGGAGGAGAGAAGCAAAAAGAAAGAAAAGAGGGTGAGGGGGAGTGAAAGGAAAACAGGGCAAGATGGTAGGGGAAGTGAAAGCAAAGGAAAAGGAGCAAGATGGAGGAGAAAAAGGAAAGAAAAAGGGGACAAGAGGAAGGAGAGAAGCAAAACAAAAGAAAAGAGGGAAGAGGGTGAGGAGAAGCAAAAGGAAAAGTGGGCAAAAGGGTGGGGAGAAGTGAAAGGAAAAGGGGGCAAGAGGGTGGAGAGAAGTGAAAGAAAGAGGAGAGTAACACAAAATAGGCTAGAAGAGAAGGGTTTGAGAATGAGAGGACAGTAAGCAAAAGATAGGATAGGAGAGTAAAATACAAAAGCATGTTTTTAAAGAAAAGAATAGAAATGCACAAATAATGATATAAATAACAAGGGAAAAAGATTAGAAAAAAAAAGAGAAAAATGTAAAAATCAAAATTAGATTGACTATGCTCAGAATGACGTCAGAAAGAACAATACAAATGCAGAAGGAGGTCTACCTGTGTTTTATTGATCATGCAAAAGTGTTTAATAAAGTATGTCACAATGAACTGTTGTAACTGGTAGGTAACCTTGATATATTTGCGAAGGATATTACAGAACCTATACTGGCACTAAACTGCCTACATACAGATAAAAAATGAGTTCTGTAAATATTGTCGGTTTTATATCATATACAAAAATTGCTTCCTTTATGATAATGGCGTTAATGACTACATTCACTCTGCACGATGCCACAAAAGCAGGAGAACCCAGTTATGGCTGTCAGACAATTTCTGTGACCACATCATGCCTTACATCTGGCCACCTAACTCCCCAGACTGCAACCCACTTGATTATTATGTGTGGGCCACAGTTGAGCGAGAGACTAACAAAACTCTTCGTAACACCAAAGGTGAATGGAAGGCAAGAATTATGGCAGCATTCACTAACTTAAACAAGCAGACAGCCTAGAAGAGTTGCAGGAGATTATGAAGTCATCTGGGGGCTGTGGTTGAAGCCAATGGCGATTTTATTGAATAAATTTACTCGTTAGTATTTCAAGATAGTTTTGCGTAATTTTGGTAAATATATCTGTTAAAATTAGATGTCAGTGTTATTTTCATTTTTGTGTAATTTAGATGACAATCTATCCATTGCACTCTGTCTGTGTGTAATATATATATATATATATATATGCACACACACAAACACGTGTAAAATTAATGCAAATAAAAGGTTTGTCACTAAGCTGATTGATGTTACCTTCATCATCCTGACTTCAGAGTTTCATAGATGAACCTTCTGGGAATCATAATGTCCATTTGTCAGGGGTTATCAGCAGTTGACTGTTTATACTTCTTGATTTTTCTTTTTTATATGCACTTTTTATTGGTGCAAGATTTTTTTTTTCATAGTGTATATTGCGTATGCCATTGTGCATATATACTTGTGTATGTTTTACATGGAGAATTTTGTGGATATTTGTATATTTTGTCTTTACACTCATTCCCTATTGTTTTCTTTTCTTTTCTCTCTTTTCATTTAATTGAAAATTTAAATGACAATTTATCTATCGCACTATCTGTGTGTGTGTGTGTATATATATATATATATATATATATATATTATATATATAATTGTCCATCTGTGTGAAAGACAGGGTATTATTCATTCTTACACAAGTTCTATAAATTCCACTGAGGTATATATGGTTGTCACATTTTTTCAATACACTAAGTTCTGCTATAGTTTCTGGGGCAAATAGGTTTTCTACATGATGAAGTTACTCATCACATGCTTAATCGGTTTTGAATTTAAAGTTGTACCTCTAGAGTGGTTGCAAACAAGGCTGATGAGCCCAGTCTGCTGTTTACTATTTCAGACCTTAGCTTGTGGGAGAAAAGATGGATTCAGCTCTTTCCCAAGGTTATTTTATGAAAATAAAAATAAAAATAAATAAACTCAACTGGATCCAAATTACCTTATATATATATATATATATATATATATATATATATATATATTTGGTTGGATAGATGTGAGTTTGTGACCCTGGGTTTCACGCTTTAGCGATCGTCAGATAAACTGATTAATTTTTTTAAAAATTTGGGTTTATGTAGATTGCGTGTATTGGTGTTATTGTGGAAGTGGTGGGGGAAATTTTGTCGTTTTGTCATTCATCGTACTAACGCAAACATCGATGTATGCAGACACACATATACACACTTGGTCGTCCGTTGGGACTCATACATATATAAACATATGTGGGCAGTTTCGGATATGACATATGTATGTATACGGGTGGTGTTGTGTCTATACATACGCATTTGTATGTTGAAATGTTGAAATTTAAAGATTGGAAGTGTGGCAGAAATGTCTCGTTAATGTCTTAATGAATGTATACATGTCATATTATTTATTTTTCGCTGAATAATATTTCCTCGCATGTATGTATATACGTGTGGTGGGGTTTTGTAAAATTATGATAGGTAAAATTATTATTATTTATATTTATTTTTAAATTTTGAAAAAAAAATGGGGGTTTATTTGTTATATTTAAAGCTGGTTATTTGTTTGTTTTTGGTGACTGTGTATATGTAACAGGTAGAAATTTGCAATCCTTATTGGTTAATTTATATGGTGATGTATAATATTTAATGTGCTGGGTGAGAGGGTAGTTTAATTTAATAATGGGTCTATATGATATGATGTGATAGTAATGTTGCAAGGGATTGGAGACAATGATAATATAATTAGCTAATAGTTATTGTAAATTGGTAGAAATGATTAGTAACGTTTTGGTGGGAGAATGATAAAACCATGAATGTAGTTATATTGGTGGTATAGTGGTGGTATCTTGAACTAAAAAAGTGGTTGTTGGTGTTTTATTTTATTTTATTTTATTTTATTATATTTATTTTGGTATAAATCCTGATAATAGGTATTCTGTGTAAAATTATGGTAGTTGAAGATTGCTATAATTTTTAATTTTTAATTACAAAATTATTATTGTTATTATATTAAAGCTGGTTATTTCCTTGTTTTTTTTTGTGACTGTGTATATTTGACTGGTAGAAATTTCAGTTTATAATCCTTATTGGTTATTTTTTATGGTGGTATTAAATATGGGGAGAGGGGGTGTTTACGTTAATAATTAAAACAGGATTATATGGTAATGGTAGATATGGTGTGATAGTAATATGTAAGGGGGTTGTATATATATAAAAAAAATATGGATGGTTTTGCACAAAAAGCCTTCACCATTATAATCAAATCATATTTTAAATTTTTTTGGCTGTCAGTTCCTAGGAATTAAAGCTATTTGGATTTCCAAAAAAGATTGATATGTCAAATACAACGGAAAAATTGTTTTATATATTTATATATACCAAATGTGTGTAATTTGTTTTCTTTTGTTTTTAAAAAGTCAAAAGGCAATTCATTGTGAAGAGGAAAGACTAAAATAGTAATGAAAAGTAACTTATCTTCTTAGGGAATAACAAATAATCAAACAAGTTTATTTGTATGGTTACACAGTAGCGAACATCTTGAAAAGGTGGAAGTGAATCATTTTTCTTCTTTCTCTTGTGCATTTTATATACACATTTTATAATAAACTCCTGACTTGGCACATAAAAATAATTCTAATTTCTAAATGTGTTAGTTGAAAGGTATTAAAATTTAAATAACTTAATTATTCTAGACGTTATGAAGATGCAACTTTGTAAGCTGATAATTTGATATCAATTTTAGATTATATGCAAATTTGATCTTTTTTTTGTAAATTCTAAACTGACAAAATTCAGTTGCTTTCTTCTTAGTTGGCACATCATGTTTCATTAATAATATTTAATAAATGCAAGTTTTTATTTTTGCTGAAATTTTCTCTCATGAACAAATATGAAGGAAACATTACAAACTTTATTCAATAAAGGTGGCTTTCTGTTTGAATTCATGGGATGAGGAGTTATCATTTACTCTATGTACATGCAGACTATTGTCCTCATCTTTGTTGTTATTGCAACAATGTTTCGGCCATCATGCACTCCAGCCTTCTTCAGGTGCTTGTCGATCTGGCTAACCTACAGGGATTTTCGAATTGAACACTTTATTTAATCTATGAGTGTAGATTGTTCCACTGTCCAAGTCTAGGGATATCTCATTCTTTTTTTTCAGTCCTGCTCAAGTATTGTCCATTCTGTTTTCCCTGAGTCCAAGTTTGCAATACCCAGACCATGGATTGAACTCACAATTACTGTTTCACCAAATTCACAAACTAATGCTTTACTCCATCAATCGGATACAATAGTGCAACTTTAGACTCAGTGATTAATTCATTCATTTTGATGGCTTTTCAACCTATTGCATGTTATTTAAGAGCAGGGAATATTTCTCGATTGTAACAATTTTGTTTTTGATAATCATGGTTTAGTGATACAAGTCTTACTACTTAACCCATGACAGGGGGAGAAGAGGTGGATTCATACCTTTCCCAAGGGTATTTGCACATAAGTGAATATTCTGAGCCCAATGAGAATTGGGACTCTGCTCTCTGACCAACAATTCTGAGCCATCATCCATTACCCTATCTGCACATCCAAGCTTACAGCACCTAGTATTACCAAGTGGTTACCCATCTAGGCTAGGCTCAATGCTGCTTAGAAAAATTGATGATTTGGGGAACTTTAAATGGAAACAAAACAAGGAATTTTTTAAACTGCATTATGTCTGAACAAGATTAAAAAGAGACATTGACAACCAGAATTAAAAAAATTAAATAAAGGGTTGAGTTAGAAATTTCCTTTAGGTTACCCAGATCGACAAACTAGAGGGCACAGTGGTCAGACCATTGTGATAACAAAGATAAGAGCAGTAATCCGAGTGGTAAATAGTTTCATGCCTTTTCTATAA